CTTCTCCATTGGATTGAGCCTGCACTAAAATTGCGTCCACTTGATTTCAAAAAAGTATAAGGGATAACATTCTCATAAAAACTCGAAAATTCATTTGAAAGTATTGAGGGGACCCTGGGTAAGAGGAGTTCACGGTGAAATTTCTCGTTTCTTCCAGTCCATTGGCGATTTACTTTCTCTGGCTTTTGTATCGTGTAGGACGGACTCCAGTGACTATCAAGACGTTTTTGCTGATCTTTTGCGGCGGCATGGTGATCAATTGCTAACTGCGACGGTGGTAGTAACTGCTTATAACACAATAATAAAAAGTCATGAAGTAAATTTGCGAAGTTTCATGCCTCTGATTGTGAGTGATCTCAAAGGGGTCTGTGTATGTTAGAATTAAAACGATCAAAGGAGAGGTAACAGAAAGGAGATATAACCTCACCACCAGGTGGGATACGTACTGTAACAGGTTCACTGGAAAGGCTGTCCCCTTCGTAGAATTCGGCAGCAACCTAAAAATTACAACTTTTTAGTTTGATAGCCTCATAATCTAAGAATGAGGGTTTCATTACCTGCACTGCGTACTCAGTATCACGCTCCAAGCCATCAAGAACGACACCACTGGTGACGTCAGGGCTTGTTTCATAATGCTTGATGTTGCTTGGATCATCCACCTTCCACACTTTGATGGTATACTTCTGAAGCAAATTCTTTGATCGTTGATTTTAATAGTACGTTATTGTATTTCTAACCTGAAAAATCTCTACTTATTCTTCTGGAATTTGGGTTCAATTTTCTTAGAGCTGCGTACGTCACACTTCCTGGGGCCGTAAGGTATGCTTCCCCGAAGGGTTAGGGGACGAAAGTTCCTTTAAATTTTCTCTGTAGTCCCAACTGGGATTGTCCTGATAAAGGGCCTACATTTAATATATGTGTGTAGCTTAAAGTAAGCATGCATTGAAAATAAAGAAACAGTATCGTTCAAAACAAAAAATTTAAAGGGACTTTCGTCCCCGCAACCATTCGGGGAAGCATACCTTACGGCCCGTGGCATTATTTTGGCGAGAAGAGGGGAGGACTAAAGGAATTTTTTATCACAACATCGCCAAACGCCACACTGGGAAAAATTTTGTACTGACGACCCTCCTTTTAAGGGTGGGATCTCAACGCGATTCTCATCCAACAGTATATACCCAGTATCGTCGAAACTGATCATCTTGACACGCTTCAAAAATCCGCCACCGAAACAACAAAAGTGCGTCGACTGGAGGCAAGGTATTCTGTTGAAAACATTATGAGTTCCGGGATTTTTTCTAGAAAAAAGCGCATCGTAAGAATTCTTTCTTCCTTCTTAAAATCTGCTTCCTCCCATGTCCTCCTAAAATCCAATTCCCTATACTAGAATCTCAAAATACGATACCAATGTTGGGAAAATTCCAACGGGCGGTCGACCCTGTACCACAGTGTATTTATTCAGCGTGGATTGTTTCATTCGAAATAACCTTACTGATGACGAGACGCTCACTTATGAACAGTTGGTAACGCTTGTCAGATGTGAGTGGTAGGTCACCCAATTTTGGCCAGTGGTTTGATGAGCTTCCCGAATTCTCTCTAATGCTCACTAACTCACTGCTTCTCAACTCCCCTTCCCTCTCCAACCCCGCCTCCAAATCCCCTGCCCCATCCCCCCACAATATGAACGAAAGTTCGCAGGACGATTCCTGGTGCCCACAATCTTGGTGTAATCCCCTCGGTGGCTTCACGTAGTGCGATTTGCATTCGATCCAGGATACAAAAGCATACTCACTCCTCTTGCGAAAAAACCTTTTTGAAACAACTGGCAAGAACTTGAATTTCCCCATCGCAACTACCATCTTTCATCTATAGAAGAGCTTTGGTTGTCAATAGCGTTTTCCGACCCTGTGTCGGAATTAAAGGAATCTTCCGCGGAAAAAGCTCCGCCTCCATTACCACAGAAAAACGATACCCCTTAGGCCCCTAGCCTCATGAGCATAGCAAAAAGAACGGAACATAAGCGTTAGTTTCGATAATACTAATCCTACACACAAGACAAAATGATCACTCTTTCCGTGGAAGATTCCTTTAAGGTATCGTTTTCTGTGGTAATGAGGGCGGAGCTTTTTCCGTGGAAGATTCCTTTAAGGTATGTTTTCTGAAGTAATTAGGGCGGAGCTTTTTCCGTGGGAAGATTCCTTTAAGGTATGTTTTCTG